AAAAAAAAAAAAAAAGCTGTCGACACCGAAAAAAAAAAGCGAGTGTGATTTCTCGCTTGTCGCTAGGTTCGCCTGTCCCCCCTCACCCCCGGCGCAAACGAGCCCGCGCACGGGTCCTTCCAAATCTCCATAATTTCTGTGGGTGTGTGCTGCCTGTGCCAGTGTGCACTGTAGTAGCGCGCGCACCTGACGAGGAGAAAAAAAAACCCTACTACTAAGGCCACAACCACACTCCTCCCCACACCCCCCGGAACTTTCACTTGGAAACCACCCCCCCCCTTTTCACTGAGTCCTTTTGTTTCAATACACCAGGGCTGTTAGTTTGCGTGATCTGAAAAATGGACCGGTTGGAGTTGCCGCGCCCCCACCCTCAGCGCCAGGTGCTGGCGGCGCTGCTGCTGGCCCTGCTGACCCCGACCCACGCCACCCTGGGCAGTGTCGTCCACCACAAGGAGCACCAGGGCTTGGGCAAGGCCGCCGTCAAGTCCCAGGTGCTCGACTACATCAACAACCAGGATTTCGACCCCGAGCTGATCTACAACCAGCGCCACGAAATGCACACTACCCGGTTTACCGGCGACTATAATCCGGCGCCCGCCGCCGCCCCCGTGGCCAACGGACCTCCCGTGGTTGCCGCTAACGGATCCAGCAGCCATGACCACGACGGCTACCCGGAACCGAACGTGCTGCCGCGATTGCGGGGGTCATCAGCGCTGCTGGCGAAGCCGCCGGTGGATGACCGCCATCTGGTGGCGGAATCCGACGCTGATACTACTATACTGGACTTGGACAACTTCCACTCGGTGGAAGCGCTGGAAACGCTGCTGTTGCGTGACCTGCTGACCGACGACGGCTCGCTGCAATTCTACGACGAGCTGCTGCTTGATGACGATCTGTACGACTACTACGACGACGACGACGACATGTTGTTGCCTCCCCTGCCACCGCGATCGCCGCCGCGGGAATTGGACCCGGATAAGCTTTATGGGATCTATGATTTCAGTGGCCCTGATCCTAGTCATTTGGCGCTTTCTCGCGATGAAGCGGTGTTTTTGATTAATGACCAAGACAATTACTGGTGGCTTATCCGTAAGTTGACCAAAGATGAACGCATGGAAAAGAAACGCCGCATATTGGAAGAGGCGGAAAAGAATAACGAGTTCGTGCTGGACTTGGAACTGGTGGAGACTCAATCTGACGACGGTCGTATTGGGTTTGTCCCCGCCGAATGTTTAGAAACTTATGGCGAACGTCTTGCCCGGCTAAATTGTTTCAAAAATGAGGAGATCGAACGGTACCACAAGAACCCCTTCGACTTTGACTTATCGCATCCCGTGCGCCAGTTTGCCATGCCCCTCGACGACTCGGGGCTGTTTGCTCTGGGCAATACGTCGACCAGTACCAGCAGCTTGCTGAAACAGAAGCGTAACGTTACCTTCTCCCAGACTAACGAAATTGAGATCTTTCTGGAAGACGACCCGGTTCTGGCGCGCGACCTCGCCGCCATCCGCCACCAACAACGCCAGGGTGTTGTCCACGATATCCGGGCCGAAGAGATCGCGCTGCCGCTGCCGCTGGCGGCCGACGACGAGCGCGCGCTGGAGGTGCTTCTGGATAAGTTCGACGACACTCAGCCCCTCGTCATCCCTAAAAAGGAAAAGAAGCGTAAGGGTCCGCAAAAGCTCTACGAAAACCACAAAGACGGACTGCCCCTCGCTAAAGTGCGGCTGTCGTTCTCCAAATTGGGGTCTAAAGACTCCACTAAGCTGCCGCTGCTGTTAGGGCTGAAGGTGGCCCTGGCGGCGGGTCCCGAGTTAAAGCATACCAACCTGATAACCAAGGACTTCAAGCAGCTGCTCATCGAAAAAGAACACTTGGGTATCCGCAAGATCAAGCGGTTTGCCAGTCCCCAGGCCGAGCTGAAGCTGTTCAAGGAGCTTAGAGAGCAAAAGAACAAGAAGTCGCAAGACCCCAAGACCAAGAAGTCGCTGCTGAGCCCGGTGCAGGAAACGGCCCCCATCGAAGTGTACCCGAAGGCCTACCGGCCCAGCATGCTGCTGCTGATGCCGCGACGGCGGTTGTCGATTGACGGCACCAAACGGCTTCTGATTGACGGGAAAAAGGCCGATAGCATCCGCACTCACCCCCCTGAGCGGCGAGCGGTATCTGACCTGATGCCGGAGCTGTTGGCCCGTCTCAACGGCGACGCCAGTCCCAATTCTCGGCGGTCGCTGATTACACTGGAAAACGTTCCCAATAATCTTCAGCAATTGCGGCGCCTGGTCATCCTCGAACGACTCACTAAGATGACGCTGGACATCCAGGAACTGTTAGAAACTGACTACGGCCAAGACGAAGGCACCCAGGACCGCGGCAAGCGACTCGAGCAGTTACGCCGGGCCCGCACCCAGATTAACGAGATCAAAGAGGAACAGCGCCGGCTGTTCGACGGTCTGTTTGATCCTCCGGGGCTGGCGCATTTACCCCACGAGGACCAGTCGTTCGACAGTGGCGAACGCACTTTCGACAGCAACTTGTCTATTGATAGCGAGCCTAGTTCGCGGGCGACTCCCGAACTTGTGGTACCCAAAAACGACCGTAGTGGTGGTATTAGTGGTAGTGATCGCCCTGAGCCTGCTGCCACTCTCGACCGCCCTGTGGACGTGAGACGTGACCGCTCGCTTGATTCTAACGGCCGTCCCCGCTCTCGCCGTGAACTGCTTGGCGGCACCCCTCGCCGCCTTCTGCGCCACGAGGAGATGCTCGGTGGTGTTCCCCGTCGTCATCTGCGCCAAGAAGATTTATTTGACCGTGAACGGCTGCTGTTGCCCCTCCACGTGCTGCTGCCGTTGCTGACGACGCTGGGCGCAAGCTACGGGACGCTGCTGAGCACGCTGGTGCTGGCGTCACCCGCGGCCGCGTACTTGTTGGGTGCCCACTCGACTCCGTCGCCGTCAGTGTCTTCGGGCAGCTCTGATGCCACTAAGCCCCCGGCTCAGGACCTTGCCAAAAAGCAACTGCAACTGAGCGTGGCGACGTTGGCCCAGGACGATTTCACCAGTCGGTTCGCCGCACCGGCAGGGCTGCCGGAAGCGGACGCTCTGGTGCTTATGCTGAGACTCTACATTAACAATTCTGACGAGGACTACGAGGAAGACATGACTGGCGGCCATAGCGAGATCACCCCGTTGACGCTGACTAATCTGCTACTTCTGGGGTTACCGGACAATCAACTGAACGGCAGTATAGGCGAGTACGGCGACAAACGCCGTCTGCGCACCGTGCATGACATGTTCAACCCCGTGTTGGACAAGTTTGACGAGTTGGCGGAAAAATTGGCCGAATTAAACGAGATGTTGTGAGTGACTACATCGTCGCTGCTACATCTCGCAAATGACGATTTATATACGGATTTTGTGCATGTTTCAATTTCAAGAGTTGAAGAAAACGATCTATGTAGGGTACCCAACTGAGGTAGTAGATTTTCCATGACTGGTACAATTTTTTACCACCAGTAATGGGTCTCATAATGATATAGGAGCTAGTCTAACTGAGCCAATGCTTTTAAGGCATATTCTCGAGGCATACTCAATCACTTTCAAGTTCTCCAGGCTTACTCCTCTTCTACGGCTCGAAGGTTTCGCCCATGATTTCATTGCCTTTCTCGCCGCCTTCATCGGCAGGCATATCCAATTGGTCTGGAGAAATATCAGCAAGAAGATCAAGTTGACCATAATAATATGCCACTACAACCACCACCATATTCAATGTAAACCGAGCGGGGTTGGATTGGTCGACTTCATTGAGCAATTGCGCTGCTTTCTTGCCCAACCCGCGGATCACCGCCATCTCATTCGCCTCCATCTCTCGGTCTAGCCGAACAAACACCGTCCATATCCACACACTAAGGTTATCGTCACTGGTAGCACTGAGCCATTCGGTGAAAAGACCGACAATTTCAAATACTTGGCTTCTAGAAATGCCCACAACAAACCAAGGAAGCGGCGGCGGCGGGTTTTCAAATACGTAATTGCGAAGTTCCTGAGGGGTTTTGGGGACCGGAAGATCTAATATAGATAAATCCTGTTCCCGATCCACGGTAAACTTAAGCTGTTGAAGCCGCTGGAGCACGTTCTTCGCAAACGGCAGCGGGGGGCAAGTAGCGGTCGACGGCGGCGCTAACGGGGCATCGATGTCGTCGTCGATCTCCTGGAGCTCGTGGTCACGCGCTTTGAGGCCCCGAAGATAGTTCCCGAGATCGCCGTCGCTGTCGATGTCGATGGGGAGTGCCTGGCTCATATGGGTTCGGCGGCCGGGGTGAGTGGCTCCGGGGATGGTCGATGAGAGCATGACGGGGTGAGGGAGTTTATAAGACCACGAGGAGAGCGAGGCCTAGCGGGTATTTATTTGAACGGAGGGCGATGGCGGGGAAGTGGGGTAACACCGTTTGTGCCACCTGCAAGGTAGTCATTAGGGGCACACCTGTCAGACAGTACACCGTTACCCTGTCATCAATCGCAGTTATTAAGCGGGGAAAGCGAAATACAGGTGTATACGTAGGATCGTAGGTTAGTTCTACCTTAGTAATGATCGGAAATGTGATTGCTTTTGATGGATATTTGTGGTCGTTTGATCAGGCATCGCCGCGAAGCTACCCTCTACTTTACAATGATTGAACGGCTATAAGTCAAAATTTAAGCTAGAACAAAACCCCTTAATCCCAGAATATTCTGGTTGATGACGGCTAAGGCCTCCTGGGTAGTTGAACCATGGCAAACTAGCGCTGGCGTGCTCTTCGTAGAGGAGTTGTGCGCTTGCTGGCGGATCTTAGGGGCATAATAACGCGGGGATAACTCCTATGCATATAAGTCTTACACGTACCACGGGGTATTGTGAGCAGTCCAAAGTAACGTTATAGTGGTCTGCTGAGATGAACCCAGTAATCCGATTCGGCAGGCGGTGACACCAAGTGCGGCCAGACCAACTACTAGAGCTCCACCGTGTAGTGCCATCGTCTACTATAACTATAACCATTTCAAGGTTGTTGCTAGAGGGTTCTAGCAGGAATATCACAAAGATGGCAGTGGTTCGATTTGTATTCTTTAAGTCTATGAGTTAAGCGCAATTGGTATAAATTTGGGCCACTGGCTTGAAACTAGAAGCAGTGACTGAAATATCATCATATATTGAATGGTTTTTATGTTCATAACAGAGTGTATATCATATTTTATTACCCTTAGTTAAACTCTCTCTTGGTCGTACTGGTCACGTGAGCTCTCACTCACAGCGGCCCTATTCACTGTGGACCCCACCACTTGACAACCATCATCCCCATACCGGCCCGACGCCACCACCAATGGGTGCCCGTCTATCTTTACTCGCACCACTGGCTCCCACAGTGGCCATCCTGTCGTACATCGACATTGTCGATGGCCTCGAGTACCAGGAAACCCTCAATAACTCCCGCTACCTCAAAGCCGTACGCGCCACCAATGCCGCCGGCCAGTCGATTGTGGTTAAGTTATTCATCAAACCTCTAGGCCTGGGGCTTAATATCGACATTGGTCCCGTCACTGAGCTCATTGCTCGTCAATCACAGCTATTGGGCCACTTCCCTCATTGTCTCCCTTATACTCAGTTATTAGAGACGGACCGAGCCGGATACATGCAAAGACGATGGATGGGGACTAACCTCTACGACCGGTTATCCCTTCGTCCGTTTTTCGACCCGGTGGAACGGTTATTTGTTGTCTACCAGATGCTTGTGGCGTTGCGCGACCTCCACCAGCAATTGCAGGTCCACCACGGCGATTTGAAGCTTGAAAACTTCTTGTGTACGCTGTGGGGGTGGGTGATAATTACCGACTTTGCCACCTACACCAAACCGACGTTTTTACCCGCGGATAACCCCAACCAGTTCTCATTCTATTTCGATACCAGCAACCGCAGGCTCGGCTACGTGGCTCCCGAAAGGTTCTATGATAAGGATCACCCGGCACCGCCGCTGAATATTGACGATAAAGGTGACTACATCGGCCATGATGCGCTCACAGATGCCATGGATTTATTCTCGCTTGGGTGCTGTATTGCCGAGCTCTACCTGGACGGTGAGCCTCCATTCACGCTCTCCCAGCTATTCAAGTATATGAAGAACCAGTTTAAACCAGATTTGTCTCCGCTCCATGACCTCCCGGAGCTAGAAGAGATCGTGAGCCGGCTCACGAGTCTTGACCCCAGCCAGAGACCAGCGGCGGCGGATATCTTGGAAGAGTACCGTACTAAGCTATTCCCCGATGAGTTTGAGAGTGCCTATCCATTCATCAAGTCACTCTCACAAGAGGCTGATCCTGATGCCCGTATCGACTTAATCTACGACGGTTTTACTAAGCTTATGGGGTCCCCCACATCTCGACGAACTACCAAACAATCTGATAATGCCACTACTTCATACAGTATTGTCCCCTATCGTCTCTGGTTCCCAGGAATGGACACCAGTTACGTTATCCAGCCGCGCAAAGTGGACGACCATCACCAGTACGCTTTACTTTACCTAAACGTGGTATTTGCCACCATTAAACACGTGGTGCGTGTACCGACCATGATCAAAGCCATCGAGCTCATATTGGCGTTTCTGGAACATATCAGCGACGAGAACAAATTGGACCGCAGTTTACCGTACTTGTGTTACTTCTTTGACGAGTACTATGGCATGTCGCACTTAGGTAGCCCTCTGGTAGTGGCTACCGCGTTGGCGTGTACAGCGCTGTTGCTCCAGCTGTGTGCCTACATCAACCCCATTAATGTTGGGGTATTTTCTGAGTACTTGCTTCCCAAGATATCTCAGTTAGCAGCGTTGGCATCAGCTCACACTGACCCCCATCATCGTCAAGTGGTGATGACGGCATTGGCAGCAGTGGTGCCTCATTTAGCGCTGACAGCTCGTCGATTCTGGACGATGGCCAAGCCATTCAAGATTGTTGAGTATGACCGTCTTGGTTTTGATCACGCTCCCGAAGACCTGTTACCCGTGAATGATCAATTTGAGGCATTAGCCTTTACCTTATTGACTGACTCTCAGGTGCCAGTAAAAGTGGCGTTGGTGCACAATATCGCTCCCCTTTGTCAGTATTTCGGTATAGACAAAACAGTCGACGTGATTCTTCCCCACTTGATTACTTACCTAAACCACTCGCTGTACGAGTTGAAGCTTGCCTTTCTTGAACTGGTGATGGCCATCAGTCCCGTGGTCGGGGTGTTGACGTTCGAGCAATACCTCCTCCCCCTACTCATCCAGACTTTGGGTGATCTGGAGCCATTAGTGGTGATTAAAGTGCTTGAAGTGTTTGTCCAGGTGGTGGTTTCTGGTCTCATCAATCCTAAAGTTGAGTTTAACGCCATTGACGTGTACAACGACTTGCTTTCCCATCTGCTCCCCCTCTTGCTCCATCCAGTCGAATGGATCCGCCAACTGGTGCTTTGTCTTGTTTGTGCCATTAGCGATAAAGTTACCGATGCTGATCGCTATACATTCTTGTATCCATTGCTCAAGCCATACCTCCGCTACGATACGTTCAAGCTTGATTGGGATCTGTTATACCCATTCTTAGCTAAGCCATTACTGAAACATTGTTGGGAGATAGCCTTGCAATGGCTGATGGCGGCGTCGCTGCGGCTGCTGTTCTGGCAAGTCCTTAAACCTCAACAGCAGCTCAGCGTCGATACCTTGGGGAAACTGGTGTATTTACCACGAACGAAAGTCGATCGAGGAGTGCCACTGTTGTCTCCTGAAGACAAACACTGGATATTTAAGCTTAGACTGCTTGGCTTTGACGATAAGAAGGAGATGTGGAAACTTGGAAAGCTTCGCGAATATATTTGGGTTCAAGCTCGCAATCGGGCTCCAATTAACCCCGTGGGCCTGTTACCGGCAGAGATCCCTCCGCATAATGTGTTTATGGATGTGATCTACAAAGATGAACCGCTAGCAGATGCTCGCATGGGGAAGAAACTGTATGCTGGAGTTAAAGGTAAAGATCTCGACCAGGTGCTGGTAGTTGACGATAGTAGCCAGCACTTGCTGCTCATATTTCCTAACCGCAAGTCAGCTCTGTTACAAACTAGTGAAGCTACTGTTTATGGTGAACTTGATACTCCTTTGGAAGAGCATGATCTGGAGACTTCTACGCAAATGCAACGGGTGGTGAAAGTGACGAGCACCCGAGTGATCACGGCCAAAGTACGCTTTCTGTACCAAGGGGATAACTCTTACATCTGGAGGTATCTTCACCTGCTTCCCTTGGATCCCGATCTCGCCAACTACTCCGAATTTGGACCTCAAGTGCCTGCACCCGCTCAGGCGCTTGCTGATTGGACGCCTCAGCACACGGTGGTAGCACGTGTGATCCCAAATAGCGGTGATGTCGATGGCTTCACCACGGTGAAAGTGTGCCCTCTGCATGAGTTCTTTGTTACGGGTCTGCAGCACGGGAAAGTCACGGTGTGGGATGCCCGAAAGCTTGAAAAGCTTGTCACCCACGCCAAGGAGTCCACGGTGCTGATATCCCTTAATTCCCAAGTGGTGTGTATCCGCTTTTTACCTCATCGGTTCTCGTTTGTCGTTGTCACCGAGGATGGCATGGTGAGAGTCCTCAGAGTGTCAGTGGTACGCGGTAAAGGTAAGAAGCTTGTGAAGCTTTCGGGGATCACTACAGTTAGACAAGTGCAGTTGGGAGCTCCCTTAGTGGATGTCGACTTCTTTGCCCGCGACGACCGCTTACTTTGTGTTGGTGTCACCACGTCCTCGAAGATGGTGGTGATGGATGTGTGTGACATGGAGCGGGTGGCAGAATGGGCAATCAAAGCGCAATACGGCATGCCCACCCTGCTCTGTGTTGGCGATAACAGTTGGGCGATTGTTGGTACGAGCCAGGGCAAAGTGTTGGTGTGGGATTTGCGGTTTGGCATCCCTGCTCGCATCTTAGCGCTACGTCGCTCCGACGGCAGTGCTGTGCTGATTACTCAAGTACTGCTCGTTCAGGTGAAGCTGTCGGGAGCTGAGATTGCTATTGCCGGGAACGGCGACACTACCGTGTGGAGCATTCCGCTGTTTGAATGTCGCCAAATCTTTGGTGCTCGAGGAGTACGCGATCGCCGCTATCAGCTTGTGGAGATGTCCCCTGAGGTTAATTTGGAAGAGCTTTTCGCTCAATTAACTCCTACCCAAGGGCCTACGATGTCGATGTGTGTCGCTGATGCCCAGCACATGGTAGTGCTGGTGGACAAGACGATTGTCTCATGGAATTCCTCAAGACCTGACCAACTGGTGGTGGTGAATAATGCTGGCATATTGGACACCACGGAGAGGCACGGCTCATACATGCTCAAGGAGTATGAGCCGATTGCTGTTGAGAGTCATCAAGACGTGATCACGGGGGTAGCGGTGACGACGGTCCCCTACCCTTTGACAATCGCCGTCGACCGCGTCGGTCACGTTTATATATATAAATAGGAGTGGAGTAATTAAGATTAGCATGCGACCGCCACAGTAAATTTAGGCTGAACAAAACAGAACAAGATTAGAAGGACTTTGCCTTACGGTGTAAGTGGGGAACATTTGCAAATGCCACAGTTCGTGAACCTTGTGGGGCTCTTGTGGGGACTTTGCGGGGCGTGAGGAGAGCCACCGCAAAACGTAGATGCGGGGAGGGTTCTAGAAGGAATGATACGAGCGGGGTGACAGTATGAGTGGTGTAAGTGGGGAAAATGATGAATTTGCCAAGCCCCACTGAAGATGTAACACAATGTCAATCTTGCATCGAAAGATGTTCTAGAAGTTGATTATGCAGTCGAACCAAGAGGGGAAGGTGGGGACAAGCGGGGACAGATGAAATTCGCCTTCTACGGCATGCCCCAGAGCCACAGTGGGGACTGTGGGGACTGATTGGAGATGATACGGTGGAGTAAGTGGAGAAGGTGGAGACGATATCGGGGTAGAAGTGGCGATGATAGCCGTTCGTTTCACTCGATATCGGGTGAAGGGAAGAACTCGTTCGAAGAAGAGCTGGCCTATCGCAGAGCTGTACTTTAATCAAGATTGCGGTTATTCCAAGAAAGAGTTTTGTTACCATTCATATTTGGTGTACTTTTCCATTTTTCACAAAATCCCAGAACTCAGGCAAACGATCTAACTTGATCAAGGTAATGAACTTAACTACATCTGAGATCATTTACAGTAGTTTGACCACCGTTTGTTATGACGTTTCTAAGCCACGAGGGTGTACGGCTTCTGATTACGGGATCGGCACTAATCATGCAATGGAACATCCGCTAGTGAAACTTTATCGGCGGGGAAACTACTAGTTGAGAGGTTACATGGCACAAATGGAGATCGCCGTTTTCGGATGTGTTTGCCCAGTGTAAGTGGAGAACAGGTGTGGCTCTCGTTCGGTGCTTTGTGTGTGAAGAATGGCACCGATAAGTTGCGGGGTTTGGATTAAGATAATCTCATTGGGTGGGGATGGTAAGGCATCAAAATAGTGGGGATTCTTGAGGGATTCCCAAAATAAACCACAATCAATTATCAGTGGGGTTATGCCCTACGGTGAAGCGGGTGGTGCCGTTCTAGAGTTGGAACGGTGGGCGATAAGTGGATAATGCCTCATAGCTACGGAATCGAGAAAACCCTCAAGCGGCACTCCGCCTAAAACGGAAAGGTCGCATTGAATCGCCGTAGAAACAGATAATGGAGTTTGTGGCACTAAAACAGCCGCTCCAACTCTGAGAGTTTTATCTACTATACATAATCACTAGGGGAGACACCAAAACATCATAAATTTTTGCCCTTCCTTTTATCTTTCAGTAGTCCACACTGGAGTCGCGATGTGGGGAATATGAAAAAGCAACGTTACCCCCAGCGCAAACCTCCCCCATATTGGGATGGTATATCCTGCACATAGCTAAGAGATGCCGCTGCGGGAAAGCCGTTGAAAATCCGCACCCACCCTCATTACCATCCACTATACTCACCATGGCTTTCGACGACGCTAAGGGCATGCAAATCGCTTTTGAAGAAGCGCAAAAGGGCTACGAGGAAGGGGGCATCCCCATTGGTGCCGCCTTGGTCGCCGAAGACGGCACCGTGTTGGGCCGCGGCCACAACATGAGATTCCAAAAGGGGTCGGCCACTTTGCACGGCGAAACATCGTGCTTGGAAAACGCTGGCCGTCTCAACGGCAAGGTGTACAAGAACTGCACCATGTACACGACGTTGTCCCCCTGTCCCATGTGCACTGGCGCGTGTCTCTTGTACGGTATTAAGCGCGTAGTCATGGGTGAGAACACCAACTTTGTCGGTGCCGAAGAATGGTTGAAGCACGAAGGCGTTGAGCTCGTCAACTTGGACCACCAAGGGTGCAAGGACTTGATGAAGAAGTTCATTGACGAAAGACCCGAGGACTGGAACGAAGACATTGGCGAGGAATAGAGCATTCGATGAGGTTTAACATAATAGCATATAAGTTGGGAAAACGGGAGAGAAATATACAGAGAGGTTTTATAGAATTTGTACGATGTAGGTAGTCTATTTGGTCAAATCACGCGATCAATTTGTGGGGTATAAAATATGTCTCGAGTGACATCTATCAATAATAGCGACAAAAAGCCTCTTCTCGAGGGGTGCGTCGAGTCGCTCTTTGTTATTCAAGAAAAAAAGAATGAACAATCGGGGCACTGTATATAGACCGGTGACTGTTTCAAACCCCGACCGTTTACATTTCTCCCAGAGAATACCGGTTGTGACATCGTTTAGGCTGTAGTCGACCAGTCTAACGTTTTTTTCGGTGCAGTTAGCCTGAGGGGGCTGTGCAGAGTCGCGGGGGACACCGGCTCGAAACCATGTTGGGATATCTCCGAGAGCCCACGAGGTCTGCTGTTTTCCACTCTGCGTGATTAGACCCTGATCGGAAATTCGACGTGTGTTTGGTTCAGGGGAAAAAAAGTCACGTTTGTCATATCAGGGTGACAATTCCATCAATTTTTTTACGAGCTAAAGACGTATTTGCACGTGGAGGAGGTGGGGCTGCGATGGGGGTCCATCTGCGATGATCTGTCCGCACTTGTTTCTTTTCCCAAGTAAACAAACAACAGTTGACAATGAACGAGGTAAAATTGGCAGTTTAAACAGTATGTTAGTCCATACATTCTCTCCTCTATTACTAGATAATTTATTATGGTAATTTTATATGCCGCGGTTGGGCCGTTATCGCCGGCGACGACCTCGCGTTTGTCTCGGGCGCTGCGCACTCTCTCATCTCACGCCCCGCCGCTTATCGCCCAGCCTCACCATCATCACCACCACCCCCGTCGCCGTGCCATGGCCTCCGACTGCTTCAACGACCTGCTCCACTTGTCGGGCGAGGACCTGATGTCGCTAGGGCTGCCCGTACTCCCGCCAGTACGCCCAGGCACTCGGCCCCGCCTGCTGCTGCTGACGCTGGTGGTGC